TTTTAATATTTCCCCCCCCCCCCCCCCTATTCAAAATTCCAAAAAAAAAACCAAAAACCCGTCCGCGAACTTTGCCCGTCTTTGAGGCAGTCATCCGAGCAGAGCTGTTATTTCGCACGCGTATATTCCTAGACGACCAATTTAGCCATTGATGAAGATCGTCCGATGAATATTCCCTGGTAGTCCTTTGTCGTTGAAAATCAGCCTTATCCCTGCACGATAATCCATCGTCAAGCCTTCTCGCTATCCTACGGCTATCCCGGTCGATCTGCATAGGGTATTGAACGATCAGTGGATACGAGCTCCGAACAGAAATCAATGAACTTTCCTCTCGGGCTGTACGGTCTAGGTTTTCCTTACTAATTTTTGTCTTTTCTATTACTTCTCTCCCAGACCTACCTACGTGTTACGTGCGACACAGAGAATCAGAGAAACAGCAAAGCCAACGTTAGCCGATCGGTAAGGTCTTGATCTTACGGATCGCCTCGGGGTTCGCGCGCCATTCACGTATATCCAAGTGTTTATGCCCAGCGCCTTCATTCGTTCCACGGTTACACGATTTCTCATTTTTACCTGCTTTCTCGATAATGGCACGCACGCCGCCGAACATGAATGAATAACCAATTTGTAGCTTTACGTATGTACACATATGGTGCCTATAGCTACGAGTGTCCGGATAACGTCCGGTCACGAGAGATCGAAACGTTATAACGCGTGTTGGGAGTCACTGGGGTCAGTGCTTTGTATTAATTAGTATACCCGGTGTGCCGTTGCGTATTTGATAAATTTTATATATTTTTTTTTCTACCGTTGGTACAGTCATGCTATTCAGTTTCGCTGCGTCCGTATACGTGTATTTGGTCTGTATGTAAGGATGTAATCGGGAATCGATCCTCGGCATCTCTGGATGAAGTTCCGACAACTTCCGGAGGAGGGGCTTCACGTGTCCCAGGTAAATCGGCCGATCTTCCCTTATCCGGGTTGCCGCTGAGATGACAGGATAGCGGCATTCCGTGCTCGGCGTTGTTACTCGATTGATAACGATCATCGTGCCGTGTTCTTATCGTCGTGAAAACACGCCGGTTTTTTCTCGCGCTGTACTCGTTGCTCAAAGGCGACGATTAGATTGGTAGGCTGTCGTGCGATCGAGTTATATTTACCGATGAATCTTGTAGGGAGCTGAGGGTCGAAATCGGTGCGTGGAAATTATCGGAATTGAAAACTTTACCGATCGGATTGATCACGAGGTTCGGACGACATCGTCTTCGTACGCACTGCTGTGTGACTTTTTATTAGTATGTTGTGTAACGTATTTTTCCTTAACTCGATACCGATAACGAAAAATCCGAGAACTAACCTACGTTACGAACCTATCGGATAATGCGATAACTTAACAGATCCTGTAGATTTTCGGGGACGCGTAAAATCAGCAAATGCAACTGGATGCTCCAGTAAGAGTCAGGCGAACAGTGCGAGAGACAGAGAGCAACGGATCGAGAACGCAACAGAACGAACTGGAGGTATCCAATCGAAATTCCTTCGCCAGTTAATAAATTGGGAGACTCACCGGAGCTGGTGCAGCTGATCCGCGAAGGCCGGGAACTGCATCCAGGGGTCACTCGGGTGGGCACTGCACTGGGGCACGGCACTGCACTTCCGGAAGACTCACAGAAAATCCAGAGAATTTCCTGGATATCGCGAGAGCAACGCGAGAACTACACGAGCGGGAGCTTTCTATGCCGTATCGAAGCACGGCTAGAAAAACTATAAACAGACGGCACGGGAGCGCGAGGCAGTCCGTGACACCTCGGTCGGTGCCCCGAGACAGACTGTTTTGACAATAGCTCAATTCGAGAACTAATTGATACGATTTTTTTACCTGATCAAGGACGTCTCCACGGTATTAAAAAGGGCGTCAATTATTACAATACGCGATACCGATCTTCTCTTAACGATACCGAACTTCTACGAGAATCCTGGAGGATTTCGCAGCTGACTCGATTCTCATGCATATACGCTCGAAACACGCTTTACTCTAGTAACGAGCGGTTAGGAATTATAAACGATTCCTAGTAAATCGTGTTGGCGAGAATCGATTTAAACCGGTCTCACCCAGTTCCGATGCAACTTCACGTAATCGCGACTCGACTCTGAGTACCCTTCACGGAGGTAGTGCATACGCTGGTAGGTCTACGTACTTTGGATCTTATGCGTATTCCATGCGGAATTATTCCAATTGGCTGCCCCTGGACTTTAATGGAGTCTGTCTTTCTAATATATATATATATCTATATATATCTTGCTAATGATTACCGATCGATTCAATAGGGAAGCGAATTATCATCATCGACGATCAATGCCTTATTTATTACTTGGATATCGTCTCTAAGGGGTTCTTCTATTCTTATCACTTTTATACCTCGACAATATATATTTTCCCAATATCTATCTCAAGGTCGTATCCTACCTACCCCTTATCACCCTCATATGTCTGCCGTTTGGTAAAGTGGGTATACCCGTCCTGTATGCGCATGCGCAATTCCTGCCAATGATCGTAGTATATACATATATACAACAGTAGCATAGCCGTGTACTTAGGATTACACGGTAATGCACAGAAGGTTGTTTGGATATGACGTCACTGACTTTACACCCTTAATATTTTCTGTTGCAGGACACGTGACGTACTCGTGACGTTTGGCGTCTGCGCCGGTGTGACGGACACCGAAAAATGGGATTGTAAATAAAGCACGAAGATCCTCGCGACGCAGTGTGATCTTTCGAAGATCCAAAAACGGCCGATATCTCCAAGCAAGTCGAGGACCTTTCATCCCTTAGCGGTTTTCGAAGAAATTTTAAAGGGGATAGAAAAAAATATTTACGCTGGTCAGCTGGAACGAAAAGGAAAAAAAAAACATGGACGGGACTGAATTTTTGGAAACTGGACCTAATCGCTCTCGAGTGTGGTTCCTCTTACGTAACGAGGGAGTGACGTTGACCGAGAGGGGCAAAAGTTCAGAAACGTGTAGCCGTGCGACGGGAGGGGGGAGGGAGAGGGTGAAAATGTGTAACAAGGTAAATCCTCACTTCGCGACCACCACTCGTTTCTCTTGCGTGAACGTCGACAGGGTGGACACCCCTTTATGACTGCTCTCATCGCAGGGGACGAATTTTGGCGAATGGCCGACGGCTACACGATGGGCAACGTGCAAAGGGCACCCGTGCGATTTTAAAAAAGCGGAAATGGCCACCGGAAACTCTAGCTCCATTCTGTATCATATTAATCGTACGCTATTATATTCGAGCTGGCTTTAATTTCCGGTCATCCCGTAAGCATAGAGCACCGTATTTAACGGAGTTATAAGAAAGAAAGGAAAAAAAAAAAAAAAAAATTTTACGAAAAAACTACCTACCTGTTAGGATATAAATACTACGACTACTATTATGTCATACCTACCGTTAACGAATTATTGGATGAAAAAATAAAGAGTAAGAAAGAAAGGTATATATATATATATAAATATATATATTAACGTATTATGTAGGTCGTAGCGTTTAAGGCTGTACCGTATAAAAGTTATCGATATAAACGTCATCGCGTGACGTTACAGAGTATACAAGCCCTATATATATATATATATATATATATATATATATATATATATATATATATATATATATATATATATATATATATATATATATATATATATATATATATATATATATATATATAAATACGAAATAAATATATTATTAATTACGTAATACGAGAGAGCGAGCGAGAGAGGGATAGGAGGAGGTACGTAAGGAAATTCTATAAATAAATCAATTAGGGAAAAAAAAATACTTTTTGCAATTCTCGACGATTGCATTCGCGTCTATGACGTCAAGGTGCAACGTGCACTAATTGCAGTTGCGGTCAGGACAATTATATATATATATATATATATATGCCTCTAGTACGATGTACATATATACTTGGTCCAGGTGTCGGACACGTGGCTGTTCGGGACAGTATGGCCCCTCAAGAATGTTTCCCCATCGCCGTTACTCTCCTGCCACCCTCTCGTAATTTCTACCCGGCGCTTACGTCACTACGTAGAATTATAATACGGGGAAACTTTCTGGGCTGACTGTACGTTCGATCCGTGGGACGGATAGATCGCGAGAGAGAATGGGATGAAGAACGAGAGCGAGTGAGAGAGAGAGAGAGAGAGAGACCTAAACATCATTTTCGAACCGATCGCGATCTGTCAGACGCGAATTTGCACAGCATCGAGATTGTTGATATTTTTTATATATACATGTCATGCACTGTCCCTCCCAATGCCGAGTGTCAAAATGCTCGGGATTATATAGAGCGTGACGCGTTAACAGGGATTCGAAAAAAAAATAAAATAAATAAATAAATAAAAAACGTACCATTTTGTACTTTGGCTAAAAAATGAAAATTAATGAGATAACGTTTAATGAGAGCGAGCGAGTACGAGTGAGAGAGCAAAGTGCAACAGAGTATGTAGGGAGAGTGAGAGAGAGAGAGAGGGGCAAAAATTGTACATTGTTTTGTAAAGAAAAGAAAAAAGAGGAAAAAAATATGATGGAAGTACATTTATTTATATCTGTGATAAAGGGAGAAAAATAATGTCGGTATACTCTGATCATAAGACACGGTCGGTGCTTGTGCGTTCGTTGACACACGTAGGGAATAATGTTTTGTAAATAATTCGAGTGTACAGGGGTGCCTGTGTGTGGATCCGAGCGAGAGGGTTGCGAGTCGGCGTGTGTGTCCTCTCTTTTTGAATAAAGAGGGAAACCGAGTCGAGGACGAGAGTCCGACGTGTGGCTGAAGCCGAATGGGGCAGAGGGGAGGACGAATGGGTGCGAATGGGTGCGAATGGGAAACCTCCGTGGGTGATATGTGGTTTTATGAAGAAATAGCGTACTAAGAGGATTGCGAAGCTATTTGTTGTGAATATACATATAGTATAGGGGAAATGAAAAATTATATCCAATAGTTTCTATTTGGTTATTCGTACGAATTTCAATTGTAAATTAATTAACTGTACATAGTTCTCAATGTGAATATAGATAAATATATCTATTATTATTAATATCAATATCACTATATTATATTATCATTGTCTACTACCATTATGAATTCATATTATATATTAAAAAAGGAGACTATTACGTTGGACGTGTTTATTTTGCATTTTTATTTTTTTTTTCTTCTTATTTCTTATCAACCACCGAGCGCAGGGTGCGTCGATTAACGTCAGAAAATATTTCGCTCGTCAATGAATCGCGCGATTCGTTAGCGTTACGTCACGTTTAACGGAAACGAGAAAATATAAAATTTTGGACCGGCGAGGCTCGTCGAATTGCCAAACAATTTTTCCCGAGTGAAAAAAGGAAACGGGTACAACGACGCTTAAGAAAAGTCTCATTGCGATTCGCAAAGCGAAATTTTATTCTTTCGCGACAATGAAAAGTTGCAAATTTTAATCGATCGACAGCTTTTCGTTCATTGTTATCGCTCGGTAAATTCTTCTTGTACCAAGCAATTAGGACGATTTCGGGGTTTCACAATGGAATACCTTAAGCAGTCCTGCCACGCAGGAATAATTAAAGTTCCCCGGATGAAATTCTGCATGGGAGCCCAGCCTCCCCTTTCGCTTCCGACGCCCGTGTAGTTCGCTCCTTTTTATGGGTTCGGAATAGCTCCGCTGCAGCTATGCAACGCTGCAGTTAAGATCTCGTGGCTCGAGGCTTTACAGCTCCTTGCCGTTGTTTTATACGCGGCATTAAAATCAATTGCGGCACCTTTATAGATTAGATATACCCAGCGAGTAACCCCGGGCCCGGTGGCGCGTCCGTCCGTGGGCAGGCAGGCTCGTTCGTTTACCTAAGCCCTACGCTCTACGTTATACATGCACGATATGTACCAGCATACATATATATACACACAAGTCAAAATACAAGCGGCACGACGAGCCATCTATCCGTATATTGCCGATACTAAAATCCTAACAACGATAAATTGGGCAACAAAGAGTCCCAGAAGGCCGCAACAATCTACTAAAACAAAGGAGACGGGACCGTTATAGGGTGGGGCCCAGAAGAAAAAAAAAAAAGAAACAAGCAAGACCAAGGGATCGCGGTGCTATAAAGTCATAACGCGGCTAGTCTCTTTCTATTTCTCTTCTACCTTCAGCTTCGAGTCTTATTCTTTGACTTTCTATTCTTCTTCCCTTCCGTCTTTGTCTTCCGTATATACATATGTATATACCCGTCTCGTTCGCTTCTCTCGTGCATTCTCCCTCGTCCTACAAACGAACTCTCGAGCAACGGCAAAATCGTGCCGCTCGGGCAGATGCGAGCAAGTGAAGTTTTACAAGACTCAGCCGTATAACAACGGCCTTATTTCATTTGCCAAGAAATATGAGACCGGGCAGCCGGCGCTGCATTAATGCATCACGAAATTCGCCAGGGTACGAAAAAGCCCGAAAGGTATCACCGGATCGGAGTCGCGACTCCTAAATCCAATAGCAACGGTACAGTGACTGTATAAATAAAATGTTGTTTATCCCTTTTGCTCAGCTCGACCAAGTTACAGGTAGTTGGGGTTGGAGCACCCCCTTTTGAATTCCACTGTATTTTCATGCTATCAATGATTATCCTGTACCGACATAACGAATGACGTAGAGGCAAGTAGCTGTATATCGTACGCAAGCAATATCGTACTCCGTATAACCAAGGTGCAAACGGGAGTTTCACTCCGACATGAAGTAAGAGCTTACACGCTTGTAAGGAGCATTCATAAAATATGTTTTACTCCGTATAAATTGATAGCTCTGCTTTGATGTACGACGGGATTAAGAACGAGTGCTGGGTGCATTACCGGCTGGCCATAGGACGCTCGAAGTGGATGCTGGGTAGATGGTGAACACAGTCGCGGCAACTCGTGAAACGGTAGGTAGGGTTAAACTACTGTATACGATATCTGTATTCGCACGGGGGTTACGGAGGAACGTGAACGTGGTATACGTCCTGGTTAAGGTTATGTTATACGAGGGGACTATCGAACAAGGGGAAGCAGGCCAAGAAGGCAAGGCTAGGCACGCTTTATTTATTGGATTCCCTGGGTATATGAAATCTCTCTTTTTCTTTTACGATAATAATAATATTGATAACCTCATGCCAGGCAGACGGGCATTACCATAAATTTGAATGTCCGCGCTGGCGCGCGCGCGCAATCGCGTCCGGCTCTTGTGGCCCTCCCGCCCCGTGACGCATTTCCCCTCCTTTCCCTTTATGGCTTATTTTATGGCAAAGACTCAATTTGGCCCGGCAGTTGGTATTCCCACTGACTAATATACCGGGAACACCACGTGGGTGATGCATCATACGGCACAAGAGCTACGGGACGCGCTGGTCCAGCGCGACCAGCACGCTCCGTCTTCTCCGTGGGATACCCTCGCTAACTTACGCCAGATTACAAACGGTATTTCATCGTCCCATCGTCCACCATCTTTAACCGGGAACCTTCGACCCTCTCCGCACCTACCCTTACCCTTTGCTCCTTCCTCGGGGTCTGCCCAGGGCAGGTTTACCGAGGTCTCCGGATGATCTCCGAGGTCAGTCCCTGTCCTCGCGCAGAACGTTAACCAGCTGGGATCGATCTTTGTATCAGCTGGATCAACCTCTTTAAGGTGATCTGGACCTGGACCCGGGTCCAGAGAGAGACGGAGAGTGCGTTTTATTAACACGCACTTGTCGGTATCCAGCTGGTTGGGCTGTCACGGTAAAACAAACAGTAAAGTCCGACGGGGGTCCCACTGGGGTTGATACCCATTGGGACTTCCTAGCTGGAGGAACAGGGCCCGGTGGCCCCTTAAGGGCGTGGGCTCTTTCGCCCCCCTGAGGTGGTCGCCGGACGTTGTCTAGGAGTTAAGGCCCCGCGAGAGATTCAACCCGGAGGAACCGCTGAAGAGGAGCCTGGAACGCTGGTTACGATGAAACAAACGGGACTCACGCTGCGCTGGAATGCCGTGTTATACTTGGATATGATCCTTGACCAGCGACACCACGTCCCGCTGCCAGGATCTTGTCTCCTCGATGGGATATGGAATGGACTGTACCATATTCTTACGGCTGTGCCTGGATGCGTTCTGGTACTTGGTGTCAGACTGGACTGTCAATATTATTTTTATTACCGATTTGGGTCCAGTGGGCACCGTGGGTCTGATGGGACCTGCTCCGGTGAGTACGATGAATCCATGGAGCTTTAAAGGTCGGCTGGTCCAGGTGTCCCTCTATAGGAATGACGTGTACGGATGCTGGGACTACCGAGAGGGCACGAAAAATAATCCAATAATTAAAATAATCTGGAGTACAAAATGCCGTGTAGATAAGCGACACGTGAATAGGAATGGGCACTGGCTACACTATACTTATCAGGCAGTAAAGATGTTTACAGC